GTAAAATTGTTTTATTTTTGAAAAATAATTTCATTTTTTTGTTTATTTTAATTAATTTTTACACTTCACATTACGATTTCACATAAATTAAAATTTCGAGAAATTTTTTAAATTTCATTTTATTTCAAAATAAAACTTAATACTTAACTTCTTAAAACTTAAAAAAATATCTTAGTTTGCATTTATTTATTTAAATACGAACAAATAATATAATAATTTTTTTAAAAAAATTTAAGAAACAATTTGTGAAATGTTTATACATGACAATATATATATATATATGTATATATATATACATAAATAATCTTGTACTTACTGATAGAATAATTAATTATATTATAATTAGAATAAAATCAATCAATTATATAATAATATACAAGATAATGAACTGATGTTTTATTATTTAGTTCATTCACCTGTTACATTAGTGATTATTTAATAAAGCAATTATTCATGTAATTGTATCGATTTCTCGAATCGATTATTCTAAACCTCAATAAAAATGGCTACTTTGAAGCACGCATGTCAAGTGGATTATTAGTGTTGATAAACAAAGAATTTTAATAAAACGGCTCCTATAAAGTTATTAATCGTCGACATTGTTTGTCGACGTCTCATTGATATAAAATTTCAAAACATTTCGGAACGGTGATAAAAAATTCGCAATTACGACGGAGTGTCAAAACAAGAGTGACAACGTCGAACGTGACGTTGAGGTTATGGACAACTTCGTCAAGATAGAAAAAATAGGGGAAGGGACCTATGGGGTGGTTTATAAAGCCAAAGATAAGTTAACTGGAAAACTGGTGGCACTTAAAAAGATTCGTCTTGAGACGTACGTCGATTGTAATATTAATATATAAAAATCTGGAATTTTTATTCTAATATTTATATTATGCCGGGTGATGTATATAACCATATTATATTAACCGCAAAATAAACATATAATACTTTTAATAACAATTTAAAATTAATTTAAAGTTATTAGTATTAAAATGAAATCAAATATTTTAGTGTATTTAGAAATCTAGTAAATATTCTATAGAATAAATTTTTAATGATTTCTATTGGATAATATTTCTGTTTTATTTTAATATTTTAATAATCAAAAAATATTTAATAGATCTTCATTTTCATATATATACACGTAGGAAAATAGGTTTTTTAATTTTTGATTTATATTTTATTAAATGAATAGTCAATAATATTTATATACATGTTTAATAAATATATATTTAATATTTAATGGAAATAATTATTTTTATTATTATAAAATATAACATTAGAATTTTTTTTATTATGAGAATAATATTTTTCAATGTTTTAAATAATAAATATTTTTAAATATATTTAAAATATGATTTTCTATTTTAACTTGAAATAATAGATTATATAGTGTAAAGATTGTTATTAAACTGAAATCATATGTTTTTTAGAAATCAAAATATTGACTTTTTATATAACTAATATTTTTTTCACCTTGCAAACATCCAAATAATTTGCACGTTTCTAGGGTTAAAAATATTAATGTTATGTAATCATTCTTTATTTAACAATATAAGTAACTTTGAAGATAGTGAAATAAAATATCATATTGATAGAGCTTTTGCTTATATGCATTGCTAACACATCTGCTAATTTACACATTGGGGTCAGCTGAATCTGCAGGGGCCACGTTACACTAAATTTTCGTAGCACCACATTATTCAGCTTGTCCCATTGTGTCATGCTCAGCTGGTTTTTGATTTTAAATCCTTTATTTAATTCTATGTTCTTAAATTAATGAAATTATATTCTTAAATGGAATTTTCTTCTGTGTATTTGTTTTATAATATTTATTTTTACAATTGATAATTATATACTAATTACACAATTTACATTACACAAAATGCACTTATTATTTTAATTAAATTTGAAACTAACTTACATATCTTTAAAAATTGCTTTATATGTAAATAAACATATTTATTATAGTTTTTCAAAAAAAAAAAAA